CACCATAAACACACCACTGTAAAAACCCCAAAATCCCGAAATTTATACCCAAAAAAAACATAATTCGAAAACCAAAGACCAAGGTTAACGATTATAGCAGAAAAATCTAACAAAATATGTGCAAATAGTTTATACCAAATCCAAATTCCTAAAATCCACAAAACACAAACCATAAAATACATACCAAACATCACAGAAATTAGAGAACCCTGAAAGAAATTGAGGTGTAATTCACTTTTTCACAGAGAAGAAAATATAAATAAGCATGTTGCATTGATTAAGCTAAGAACTAAAAAAAGTGTATGACAATATACCTCCAAATGCCAAAGAACCAAGTTTTCACTCCAACGATCCAAAATTCTGAAACATAGTAAATCCATTAGCAACTCTCAAACATGCTAAATTCAGACATAAGGTAAATAATTCACAGCAAAAAGGAACCCCTAAAACCTGACCTAACAGCATAACAAAATTCGGAAATAATTCACAGAAATTGGAAGAAATGATGACAATCTATGCTTATAGTAGAGAATCGAATTAAAAATTGAACTTAGCTCAAAAACACTTACCCTTCAATGTTTGGAGCCTCGGAAAAATTTATGAAGTTCACGCAAATATTTTTAGGTCTCAATGCACCTATCCTGCAAACCAACGAAAATGGAAATGCATTAATACAAATGCCAAAACCGATTTCTAAGATTTTAGTATTCTTTTTACCCTTGCAACCGAAAAACAAAAATCCCAAAAAAATGAGCAAGAAGCTTAAGCAGAAAAAATTATATTTTCAACTACCAAAACCCAATACCCATTTAACATGAGATTTTAGTGTTCTCTTTACCCTTGCAACTCAAAACAAAAAATCCTAGGAAAATGAGCAAGAAGCATAAGCAGGAAAAAAATACATATTTTCAACCACCAAAATCCAATACCCATTTAATCATACACGAATGAAAATCTAAACATAGAGTCATAAATCAACGAACTGAAATCCCAACAAAAAAAACCCAAAAAAAAAAAAGACCTTAAAACAAAGAACAATACATAGAACAGAGAGATGCATCCCCAAAATGAGAGAAAATGACAGAAAACGAAACAAATAAAGGAACCTCCAAAACCTAACCCAACAGTGCAACAAAATCCGGAAATAATTCACAGCAAAAAGGCTCAAATGATGACAATCTGTGCTAACAGTAAAGAATCCAATAAAAAAAGGAACTTAGCTTTCGAAATCCAACCACTCATCCGACACACAAAAGGGAACGGACGATCCAGAGTGATTCATGGACTAAGGGACCTTACTCGGCTCTGTTCACCATCCCAACCCCTCCCTCTCTGTTTCTCTCCCTATTATCCGAACAACCACTCTCTCTTTCTCTCACTGTCTCCCTTCCACTCACCCATGCCAGGATTGGCATTGCCTTACCTGCGCCCAAGAAAGAACCAACTGACAGGAAAGAACCTAACCCCAATCTGTAAACCAGCAATCTGTGCTAAACCAAACGAACAAAATTACCCTCTGAACTTTTAAGAATTACCCTCCCAACCCAGCCCCATGTGGCTGGTATTGTTGTAAATAGCATGAAATCGAGTGGCTCCGTGCTAAACCATATGGACAAAATCACCCTCTAAACTTCTGAGAATTACTCTCCCAACCCACTCTAATTTGGTTGGCATCGTTGTAAATAGAGTGAAATCGAGGGGCAAACAATTGACTGTAGCTGAATGAACAGTCAATTCCTCCTCAATTTTAGAATAGATAATTTGATCAGTAGCTTTTAGGGTTTGGTGCGAGGTCTATAGTTGTTTGGATTTTGATGAAATTTCAGAGGTGAGATCGCGGCTCAGAGAAAACCCTAGCTTGATCCACGCTGCAAGGCAAAGGTTTGGATAGTGTACGAATCGAAGGAAAACCCAAATCCAAGGAAAACCAAATGGCTTTTCGAATTTGATTTTTTTTTTTTTTTTGGAGTTTGGCCATCGTGATTTGTAGTTTTTGAAGAGAGAACTAGAGAAATTTCTATTGGTTGGTCTTTTTCAGCAGGAAAGTGAGAGAGAAGTCGAGATCGAAGAGTGAGGGAAGGCAAGCTTTGGCAACATAAGGGTTTGTGGGAGAGATCGAAATGGATGGAAGACTTCTTCAGTAGAGAAGGAAAGCATGAGAAAGAGTGAGAGATGAGAGAAGACCGCAAAGTGAAGGAGAGTCAGAGGAAAAACCAAGAAAGAGTCGAAGCAGAGCCCCTCGACAATGATCGATGAGTGCAAAGGTACTTTGCGTGCAAGCTTGAACGATCCTTGCCAACCTTTTTGTTTGCAATGTCCCAAAGTGGAATTCTTCTGTCCATTTCATTTTTTTAATGGCTTTATTAACTCAAGTTTTTTCACATTAACCTTCTGGTCCAGGCCCCCTTTCGCTGGCCCAAGGCCCGCTTACCCAGTTCAGTCGGTCTGATCCGATTCGTCCAACCCGACCCGGTTCATCCGATCCGACCCGATTCGATTGGTCAACCATCTGATTTATTCGGTTCGATCCGGTTCGAAGGTCAACCGTCCGATTCAGTCGGTTCGATCAGTCAACCGTCCGGTTCAGCTAGTCAAACCAGGTTCGCTGAGTCAACTGTCTAGCCTGGCGGGTTAGTTTGGGTTCAGCATTATTCTTCAAATCTATTAGTTTATAATTAATAGTTCCTTTTTTTTAATAGTTCGTTTTGCACCTCAACATATGGTTCCGTTACCCTCCTGCAGACTGCTATAATTTATACGAGTGTAGTTAGATAGTTCTTTGCTCCTGTGGACGATGTGGGACAACAGTTTGGTTTCCCACCTCTTTGCTAACTCCCAATGTTTTTGTTCAAATCCCACAGATCCCTGTCTTTATTTAGCTATTTCGCACCAAAATTCTTCCCCATTGAAATATTGGCTCCATGAAAGATGAGCTCCAGTTTAAAACATGACTAATCCGTTCCCATTCAGGACCGTTGTTGTCCAGTACGTTCCGGTTCAATTCCGGTATGGTTTGTTCATTTGATTGGCGCGGTCCAGTCCGGTCGGCCGGCACGGTCGGCTTAGTAAATGCCAACTATTGAACTTGATATGTCAATAAATATTAGTCTCTTGTGAGAATGCTTTTGACTTGTGTAAACTAGGCTGGTTTAGTAACTGTTTCGTATTTAAATTTTACGGGCTTTTCTTCCACTATTCTTCTATTTTCCTCAGTACTCGATGGCAAGCACCGGTTTGAGGACAAAGATAGGGTGCCACTAAGTTGTTGGAATATGCCTACGGACTACTCAATGTACCAGAGATGTCATGGAGACTAATGTTGTTAGATAGAATTGTCATACGCACGTTCGTCATCGTCGTTCATTCTTTTTTCTTGGTTACATTTGAGGGTTTCGAACATTAGACTTATCCGCTTACCACTGAGCTAATTAACCCCAATGACCTAACTGTTATTCATTTTTATGGTCATCATAAACTGCACCTTGGTGTTACAAAGATGTGGTAATTTTTCAGTTTTTGGTTTTAAGCTCGTATCAAAGTAACACAAGCTGTTTGGCATCAAGCTTTATGAAATTGGGTTACAGACGTCATTGACTAGTTATTGTTTGTTCTTGTACGGTACAAATTCCACCAATTATTCAAGTGGTGGCAATGTGACCTCTTGTGGTAAATAAATAATGCATCAAACTCTTTTCACTGCATGGAGACGAATGCATAGAGGAGATGAAATATTGGCAGGCCATTATGCTCATTGAGAGATGAAACACAACCAGGGTATATATATTTTATCAGAGATGAATCAATCATCAAAATAAGAATTAGGCGGCCATTCATTATCATCTAATCTTTGTTTCTTTTGTTTATTCGCTAAAACCCTATCCCGAGTATTTTGATGAGTCCAACCACCACGTTCGGGCTTCAGTAACCCTTACTCTCAAATCCCTAGTTTCTATGTGATATCACAATAAGTTACATCCAAAATCGACAACGTCGTTCGACTTTTCTATTTTTCTCTTTTTGTGAGTGTCTATCATTCAATTCACTTGCCATAAATAATTAGGGGCGTGTGACAAGAGAAAAAAGGTGTTGAAATCACTTCCCAACAAAAAAAAAAAATCAACAACCAGGATTGCCAGGACGAAACTAGCAACACCGACTCGCAACTAAGCAGAGAGACAAGTTGAAGCCGACGGAGGATCCAATTCCAAAAGTCGACCAACAGATGGAGATGGACAAAGAAGACCGTCTTCTTGACATCGAAACAAGAATCCTCACTTACCATAGACCTTTCTCTAAATCATGAGCGGGAATAAACCCTAAACCCTATCATCACAGTGGTTTGGTCTAAAACTAAACTATGCGTCAAATTCAAAGGATTATTTCCCATCACAAGTTAAAAATTCCAATCTTGAGATTTTTGGAGCATGAGCCTCGAATACAAATTTTCTCAAAAGACATTCTAATACAAATTTACGGCATTAAAATGACCAAGCTAGCCGTCGCTACCATCATATCGCTACCCAGCACCATGCCTTGCTGCTCCACCACCTGCCACGGCACCGCAGCTCTGTCGCACCAACACTGCAATGACAATCCAATTTGTGGCTTGTTGATTTTGATTTCTTCAGTTAATGGTTTTGCTAATTTTAACTGGGCAGTTGCCTGGAGAAAGCAGAATCATGACTAACTTCAAAACCAACAAACCCATTGGAAGATTCCAATGGTGCGACAAGGCAATATTGGTGGAGCAGCAAGGCTCTGTGCTGGTGTGAAGGTATGATCCGACTCGTTTGATCGCTTAGGGAGTTATTTTCACGCTAAAAATAGGATGCATTTGGTGAGTAGTGTTATTGTTGCACGCGTAGAAAATCCCATGTCCGTTTTTTGCATGTAAAAGTTTTGGTCTATATAAAATCCGATGCAGATACCAATCCTAGGGCAAATTCTTTAGCACACTAAGATATATTCCTTTATAGTACTCCAACTACGTGCTTACCATCATGGCTCTTCTCATCACAAACCAAGGCCACTCCCTCCGCTTGGCCTCATTTCTCATGCTAATTTTGGCCTTCTGCTCCTCGAAGGCATTTTGTAGTCGCCAACTTTATGGCGACAACGAAATCACGGTTGTCAGGCATGAGGAGTGGATGGCTCAACATGGACGCACTTATAATGGTGCACAAGAGAAGGAGATGCGCCACAACATATTCAAGAACAATGTGGAATTTGTACAAGCTTTTAACAAAAATAAGGAGGGAAAAAAGTACACGCTGAGTGTCAATAAGTTTGCGGACAAAACTAACGAGGAAATTCGGCCAATGCGCAACGGCTACAAGAGAAAGCAACGTTCAGGGCTCATGTCCGACTCTTTGATAGCATCTCCTTTTCGATATGGAAATGTCAGTAATGTGCCATCTTCTGTGGATTGGAGATTGTCTGGCGCTGTGACCGCGGTCAAGAACCAAGGATATGAGTGTGGTATGCATGAATTCTTACCTAATATCTAGTTATCTACACGAAATTATACATGCGTTTAACGTAATTTTTTTCTTCTAATATATACTGATTATATGCAGACAACGAAAGATGTTTACGTTGCCAGTTTTCAATTTAATCAATGGTTTTAGTTTCAATGACAACTTATCTAATTCGATGATGTCTTAATTCAATGATGCTACATTGTATGACAATGACAAGATAACAATTTATCTAATTCAATGATATTTACAGGGTGTTGTTGGGCGTTCGCATCAGTAGCAACTATAGAAGGGCTTAACAAACTCAAAACAAGAAACTTAATTCCACTATCCGAACAAGAGCTAGTTGATTGTGACACGAGCAGTTACAATCACGGATGCAATGGCGGTAATTCAAAGGTTGCGTATGACTACATGATCAACCGCAACAGGAGCCTTGCAACTGAAGATAATTACCCTTACCAGGCTAAAGATGGAGGAATTTGCAAAACTGCTAGTGCTGCTCCTGCAGCTGGTGCCATGACCATAACCGGCTACGAGAATGTGCCTGCAAACAACGAAGATGCATTGTTGAAGGCTGTTGCGAACCAGCCGGTTTCTGTTGCCATTGATATTGACGCAGAGGAATTCAAGTATTATTCGGGTGGTGTGTACACTGGACCATGTGGTACAAACTTAAGCCATGAAGTGACTGCAGTCGGGTACGGTACTAGTAATGATGGGACCAAGTATTGGCTGCTCAAGAATTCTTGGGGCAAAGATTGGGGAGAGGGTGGATACATGAGATTACAAAGAGACGTGCCCGCCAAGGAAGGGTTATGCGGCATTGCTATGGAAGCTACTTATCCAACCGCATAATAACTTAAACCACCTGCAACATCCTCATGCTGCTAATTAATTTGTGATAAGTGTGATGGTTTAATTAAATTTGCTGATTTATTATTTTCTTTATGTTTCTTGTTCATCGGTTGTAAAGTGCCGTTGTTTATAAATTAATGGATAATAATTGCTTTGAATTACATTCATGTTGGTATTTCCATTATCTCTCAAACACCTCAATTAATCCAAAACCGTCATGAAATTTAGAACCTGAAATTGTGTATGTGAAATGTGGAGATTCCGTTTGGTGACATGAACTTTATTTTGCTTGATTCTTTGATTTTAATGTTTCCAGTCAAATACCGTTCCGCCATGAAAAAAAATGTTCCCAGAAAAATATCCAGAACACAAAAATGTTCAAGTCAAATAAACAACAATGAGGATGAAGTAAACTATCAAATCAAATACTGCATAAAAAATTAATATAAAATCTAATACAATTGTAGTGCAAGATGTAAAGATCACAAAAGGAGGGTCTTACAAATAAAAAACATCATAAATGGTAGAACATAAATGAGCTATATTTTTAATACATACGATAAATGAGCTATATTTTTAATAAACAAGTTTTTGTTTTTATTTTTGAAATTAAACCCATTTTACACCCTAATAAAGATGGGGGAGTTTATTGCACGTGTAGAAAATTCTTGGCCATTTTGCTTTGCATGTAAGATTTTGTGTATAAAATCCCACGCCATGCTGAATGTGTGTTGTATACCAAGGTAACTTATCTAAAGTACTCCAAGTGCTTACCAATATCATGGCTCTACTCCTCACAAACCAAGGCCAATCCCTCGCCTTATTTCTGGTTCTCGTTTTGGGCTTCTGCTCCTCCCAAGCTTTTTGTAGTCGTCAACTTTCTGATGACGAAAAAATCATGTTGGAGAGGCACAAGGAGTGGATGGCTCGACATGGACATGTTTACAAGGATGCACAAGAGAAGGACAGGCGTTACAACACATTCAAGTCCAATGTGGAGTTTATAAAAGGCTTTAACAAGAAGAGCGAAAACAAGTACAGGCTCGACATCAATAAGTTTGCAGACCTAACTAACGAGGAATTTCAGGCGATGAGTCAAGGCTACAAGAGGATACACCTCCCCGAGATCATGTCCAACTCTTCCAAAGCAGCTCCAGATAACAATTTTCGATATGAAAATGTCACCGATGTGCCAATATCTAAGGATTATTTTTCAATTGGCGCGGTGACCACAGTCAAATACCAAGGGCAATGTGGTAAGCATGCAAGATTAAGCTATCTCTATGAGGTTTTACTTTCATAGATCATGCAATATGTGTTCTTGTTTGATTGTTTGAAAACACACGATGCTTGTGTTTCCAAAATCTGAACCTGGATAGCGCATTCAACCAATAATTATTATGTTTATAGTCGATATGGCCCCGGTCAAAAGCCAAGGTTATGACTGTGGTATGCATGCATTAAGCAATTTCTAGACATTTGCACGAGATAATACATGCATGTAATGTAATTTTTTTTTTTCTTATGCTGATTATATTAAGACAGTGTACAATGTTTATGTTATGTTGCCAGATTTTCAATTTAAGGGGCTTTTAGAGATGAGGGTTTGTCAAAGATTATTTTTAGAATATAACTTGGAAGGTTTTCAATATCTAAAAAGGATCTTTTATTCTAATGCATTATGACATGTCACTTATAATAAAACCACATGTTTTACTACTATTAACAAGAATGCCATATTTATTGTCTACAATGTAACCTCCACCATCAAAGTTTTAAAAGGTAACCGGAGATTCATTATCACCCATAACATCCATCTTCATTGTCTAAAAAATGCTATCTTTATTGTCTATAACTACCTACTTCCTTTTTATTTATTTTATTTTTATATTTATTTAAATTTGATATTGGGTGAAGAATGCACTAATTTAGGTCCGATAGTTTCGGTATAGTCAATTAGGTACGTTATATAGTTTAGGTATGATAGATTCGGCACGGTCAATTTGGTACGATTAGTATTTTTTATGTTTTAGTTCACTAGGTTTGATAAATTAGGTACCTTATAGTTTAGGTCTAATAGATTTGGTACAATCAATTTGGTTCCAATTTGTATTTTTATGTTTTAGTTCAGTAGGTCTGATAGATTCAGTATGATCAATTTGGAATGGTTTGTATTTTTTATGTTTTAGATCATTAGATAGATTAAATCTAATCAATTTGATAAATTAGTTATGATTTACAAAATGCTTTTCAATTTTTTTGTATGTTTGAATCCCTTAAAAGGGTAATATAGACAAACTACAATAAATTCATAAAAAAGTAATTAAATTCTGACATGGAATATATAAGCTGACATGGACACAAGTCAAAGGACTATTGTTAGTTTTCATCTTACATACGGTACTATTAAAAACATGGTCTTTTTTAGGGATTAAAATGAAGTTTTTAAACAATTTATATAACTCAATGATATTTACAGGATGTTGTTGGGCGTTCGCATCAGTGGCAACCGTAGAAGGGCTAAACAAACTCAAAACAGGAAACCTAATTTCACTATCAGAACAAGAGCTAATTGATTGTGACACGAACAGCTACGATCACGGCTGCGATGGAGGTAATTCAAAGGTTGCGTATGACTACATGATCAAACTCAATAAAAGCCTTGCAACTGAAGATAATTACCCTTACCAGGCTAAAGATGGAGGAATTTGCAGAACTACTACTGTTGCTCCTGCATCTGGTGCCATAACCATAACCGGCTACGAGAATGTGCCTGCAAACAATGAAGATGCATTGTTGAAGGCTGTTGCGAACCAGCCGGTTTCTGTTGCCATTGATATTAACGCAAAGGAATTCAAGTATTATTCGAGTGGCGTGTACACTGGACCATGTGGTACAAACTTAACCCATGAAGTGACTGCAGTTGGGTACGGTACTAGTAATGATGGGACTAAGTATTGGCTGCTCAAGAATTCTTGGGGTAAAGAGTGGGGGGAGAGTGGATACCTTAGATTACAAAGAGATGTGCCCGCCAAGGAAGGTCTATGTGGCATTGCTATGGAAGCTACCTATCCAACCGCATGATAACTTAAAAGGAGTTTTTTTTTTTTTAACTTTAATTCCTGAAAAAGATTGAAATTCAATAAAAACTTGATGTTAGATTTTTTTTTTTTTAAATTGAAACGATAGCGGTTTTATTTTTATTAAGAATACGACATACAATCATCCAAAAGGCTACCCTGGATTAATTTCAAAGGTTCCTTGAACCAATGGAAACTAGAAGAAAATTCTAAGACCTACTTGGCCATTCTATGGACCACACCATTAGCGGAACGACTAACATGATAAATTTTGGAGGACCCAAAACCTCCCAGGCACTCCTGTACATCATCCAACAATAAATCCGAAGAGGAGGACCCACGCTTCAAACTCCCAACCCCTTGAACCCAAATCAAATCTCAGTAAATCGAATCACACGGTTACAAAAAAATAAAATAATAATAAATAAATAAAATTACCCTTTTGACTTACCATTAGTGACAACTTGGAGATCTCCCTAACTTTCTCCATTGGCATTGCAAGCTGCAACTTCCCATTCGCAACATAAGCGATATGCGAGGGCCAATCTTCCAACCCGTCAAATATATGCGTAGCGTAAACGATCGTATACATGTTAGAACTGAGTAAAAACTACAAACAAATTGAAAGATGGAGGATTCAAGTCCCACAGCTCTGTGAATTGACCTCCATTACAAGCAAATAGTCCAATTTCCTCACATAATCACACACCTCAAACAAATTACAATCCCAAAACTTCACGATCCACTGGATGCATCTTCTAATTCTGTTGTCATCCGCGCCCAGAAGAACGAAGAACACCAAGACTCAGACTGAGGATACCTCCACAGTGGTTTTTGAGTCGTAAAGTATCTATTATTGCCTGATAACTCTGTTTGAGCTGAAGATAAAGTCCTCTTCTCCGGCAATGGTGGAAGTCAGGTGTCCGGCTGCCCAACCATTGTTCGCTGAACAAACATCGCTGCTTCCCTCATTTGGTTGCTCAAACTCCGGAAGACCCTTCGCCTTTCTCTCATTCCTTCTCTTCCTCTCCCCTCACGCTCATTCCGCAGCCAACTCTCGACTGTCCTCTGCAAACAGAACCCAAATCCAATATCAGTAAATCAAATCATACAATTACGAATAAAATTTAAATTACCCTTTTAACGCACCATGAGGGACAACCTGGAGATCTCCCTAACTTTCTCCATCAGCATTGCTAGCTGCAACTTCCCATTCGCAACATAAGCGATATGCGAGGGCCAAATATATGCGTAGCGTAAATGATCGTGGCGCCTCGTTCTTCGCATTCCTTCCTTAAGAACTTGAGAATGTCAGCTCTTGCTAGGACATTGAGGTCCACCGTTATCTCTTCTAGCAGAAGAACCTATTGGACTCAGAAACAAATCATCAAACTGTTTGGGTTAAAACTTAAACTTTGGGCTCATAAGGGAGTTTGCCCAAAAAGAGGAGAAAAGCCCCGAAGCACAGCCCAAGCCCAGAAGGCAGAAAAGGCCTTTCCCGACTAGGTGCAGATCATTTGCACCACTTGCTCACCTACCCAAGGGACAAGTGGTATAGACCAGCCAGCTAATCAGCCCAAAAGTACTTTACAGTGGCAGTACAAGTAAATAGATGATGAGTCACTATCCTTCAAACTGCATTCGGGCAAGATTATTGCTACAGAAGGCCAAACCAAAGTGTCTATAAAATAAGAAAGAGAAATCAGAGTTAAGGACACTCAAACAAACCAACAAATACGCACCAACTCTGCTCAAAGCCAGATTTGCCTTCAAAATGAAGCTGTAGTCAGCCCAAGCCTTCATCCCTTTCGGGATAAACCCTTTGTAATAGCTCTGCTACCCTGTTCAACTCTTGCTGTAGTATCGATTTCTTTCTGTAAACTCATCTCCCAACCCCTTTTCTAAACTTTCAAACCTTCTGATAAACCACAAAGATAGGAAGTTGCAAGACGATCAGCCTTACTCGACAAGGTTAAACATTGCCCGACCCTCTTTGTTTTTGTCTTTTCATTCATTAGCCTAGCAATATGTTGTATACTACAAGTTGTATCCAAGTTATTTCTAGTAATATGGCTATTAAAAGACTCTCTTAGCGCTTGAATCCGATTTGAATATGTCTTCACAGTTCAAGCCAGATCTAAGTTCTAAGCCCTCGGGCATGTAAGATTTGATCACTCAAAAGTCCTTGGCCTCAAGGCATAAAAAAAGAACCTTATGTGGACTTAACCCATCCACGACAAGCTTTGATAAACAAGAAGTCCGAAGTTACTTGAGGCGCAAGTAATCGACCTATCACTTAGTTTTATTTCTATTATATTATGATTACCATAGAACGTTCGAGTATGGAATGAATTCTGATGGGAAGCCTCAAGGCCTATTCAAGGCCCTACAAAGGCACCTATTTGGATTCATCCTGTTCCTCGGGCTAGAACGTTGAGTATAGAAGGAATTCTGATGGGAAGCCTCAATGCCTACCTAAGGCTCTACAAAGGCACCTATTTGGATTCATTCTGCTCTTCGGGCTCAGGTAATCAAAAGTATAATGGTTATAAGACTCAACATCCGAGTACTAAGTTAGTTATTAACGGGAAGCCTCAAGGCCTACACCTAAGGCCCCACAAAGGCACCTGTCATAACTAACATAGTCTCTCGAGTATATATATAATTAAAACTCAACATCCGTTTTACATCTGTCATGCTGAAGATGGCAGTGGCACGCCTGAGCACTGAAAAGTTAATCTTGATTATGAGCCTCAAGGCCTATACCTAAGGCCCCACAAAGGCACCTTTCAAAGTTAACTCTGTCCTTCTCTTTCAGCCTTGCCCGACAAGCCTTACCCGACAGGCTTTGCCCGACAAGCCCGCCAGTAAAGCAGAAGCCCGACAGAAAGCATCAACCAGCGCCGACCTCTCGGGGAGCTGTGTGCTCGTTGGCTAGGAAACATCCTCAACGGTAATTCCTACCACGAACATAGTTTTGGCACGCCCGGTGGGACCTCATTTGTGTTGATCTTGCATGTCTAAGAAGAAAGGCCATAAACTTTGCAAAAAGAATACGAAGGACGGTTCTTCTCAACTTTTGCTACCAATGACAGATCAATCGGGAAATTCTTCTTCCCTATTAGGACAGGTGGTCCTAGAAAGCCCATATTCATCCGGAAAGTCGAAAGGGAAAGGAACTAATGAGGAATTACAGGCTACTATGATACAAGTATTGAGAAGTATGGAAAAAATCTCTTTGGAGACCAAGGAGGAAGTCAGTAGACCGTGTACCTTAACATGGAATTTACAGAGAAGGCTAGATCTGGAGTTTTCCACTCCAAAAGGCGCTCAAGGGAGTGGGATGAGCCAGGTTACCATCAGAAGTGAGCCAGTCATTCCCCTATTTCCACTATTAGAAGAAGAAACGGATAGGGGAAAGAAGAAAGCAGTTCCTGAAGGAAGTCAACTCGTGATAGAGCCGGTCCTGGAGAAAGAGTTTCCTAGCTTCCCATTATTATCATTTAATAACAGGAAGCAAAGCGAGTAGGAAAGGACAAAGTATGGGATGCCCATAACAACAGGAGAGTCCAGCCAAAAAGAAAGTTCTGCAGCTTCGGATAAACCTCTTCCTTATAGGCCACCCCCATTGGCTCATAAGGGAAGGGGAACCAACTGGAGAAAGCCTGAATCAAAGAAAGAAGCATTCACAGGCAATGACCGAAGCCCGAAGAATGAGTCCGCCCTTATCTTCCAGAATAATAATACAACTACTCAACAACTAAGGGATGAGTTGGCTGAATTGAAGAGGGCAGTGGTTCAAAATGCTCAACCACGAGCTCGCCCAGTGTTCAGGATTACTTATCAAAAGCCTTATCCTGAATACATTGATGAGCAGAATCCATTTCCTCTCAACTTCAAGATGCCCGCATTCCCAACATTCACAGGTGAAGATAGCAGTGTGTCCTCCAGAGATCACATTTTCAAATTCTCTAATCACTGTGTGGCATATGAAGACAACCCAAACTACAAGTTAAGGTTGTTTGGGAATTCATTGGCAGGACTTGCATCCCATTGGTATTCTCTATTACCCCTAACTCTATTGTCAACTGGGGGCAAATGGAGATGGCTTTCCATGAATAATTTTACAGAATAGAACCAGAAATGACTATTAATGATCTGGTTGAAGTCAAACAATACGAGCATGAGTCCACAGAAGACTTCATGATGAGGTCAGGAAGACAATGATAAGGTGCCAATTCCCTGTTAACCAAGCTCAGCTCATATCAATTGCTCAAAGGGCTCTGAGATTACCTTTGAGGAAAAGATTTTATGATACACAATTTAACGAGCTACAGGAATTAGTCATTGCTGCCACAAAATATGAAAGGCTATTGCTAGAAGAACAGCAAGTGAAGCATACTTCCAAAGCTCATCCCTTCTACAAAAACAAAGCTGCAATTCATCGTGTGGAGGTAGGAGAAATTGGGCCAGAGCAGGAAGATGGCCATGGCAGAGAGGAAATCGAGGTGTGTGCTGCTGAGATGACTACGCCTTTCAAACCATTGACGGTGAAAGGATTAGTTCAACCCATCAAGGACCAGAAGATTGTGATGAACGATGGAGGCTTTGTTCCGATGAAACCTCCTCACGTACCAGAGCTATTCGTTCGATCTGGCCAAAGCACCTGAGATTTATGAAGAGCTGGTGCAGGCAAGAGTGATTGTGCCCAACAGTATGAAAAAGATGCCCAAACCAAAAGAGTTGAGGAGAAAAAAGTATTGCAAGTTACACTATACCTTCAACCATTCTATAACCAATTGTGTCCAGTTCAGAGACTGGATACAAGACCTTATAGTGAAGGGAAAGTTGTTACTTGACAAGCCACAAGCTAGTATGATGGTTGATACCAATCATTTCCTGGAAGCTCCTATCAACGCGATCCATCTGGTTTAGATGGAGAAGCCAGTGTCATCAATTTTTACGACATAGGGGAAAGATGGATCTCAGGTTGTCACAACACCC